TTCATCTTGGCAGCCAGCACATGCCGTTGGACCTTGCTCTCTAGTTGATATATTTCGTCTAGGGCTGACACGCCCGTGGAGTCGATGTAGAGGCGCAGTCGATGAAGAAGCTTAAGATTCCAATGCTCGAACGCTTTTCCCACAATAACTTCATGCTTTTACACCAGTCCATATGTTTATAATCGAAACCAGAATTTAAGGAACAGTAATTTTTTTCCAATCAGAATTTTCCATCTCTCGTTTGGTGCCCCTAGTGAATTTCCGCCCTGTGCTGGAGTACATGTGGCACATGACTAAGAATGGACCTGGTCCTAAGTATAGAGGGGTTTGATGAGAAAACAAAAAGGAACTACATGAAATAAGGGGCAGGTCTCTTACCTGAGCAATGAAGCGCAATTATAGCATTCTTCATTCGTACGAGGGCACGTCATAAAACGGGTACAATTCATTTTTTATTTTGTTTTCACGACGCAACAGAGATCACAGCGAGAAGTCTTCGTATAAACACCCTCAAATTTTAACCCTGTAACTACCGTTCTGCTTCTAATGGATCCCGCTACAAAAACTTAGCCATTTTTTTCAGCTGCGACATAATCTTGAAAACTTCGATACTCGGTGTGCACTGACACATTTCCTAGGCTTAAGATACGAATCCTCGTCTTCTCTAGGCTGACGCTGGTATTTGGCTATGCTCGTAATCTCATTCGCATAAGGGATCATCATCGGGATTGCCCGTAATCGAATGATGAGCCGTGCAGATTTCAGCCCGGCATTCCTTTCTTCATCTTCGTTTCCCCGGGTTGGCTCGCGCCAATCGTAGATCGCACCTCAGATGCCTCCTCGTTCAGTGACCTTTGAAATTCTCGGTTCTTTCCCCCATACTTCTGCTGCATGTCTCATATTTTCGTTCTCGCGGCATGACCCGACACTCCATGTCTCCAGCGTTTCCTTCGTTTTCCTCTTGAACGCAAAGCCATTTGTTCCTCAGAAGATAAAGAAAATTATTTTATTATCCAGGAAAGTTTTATTCCTTTAAGCGAATTATTCTAATAACCGTATTCCATTATGCGATGTTTTTTATAATGCGTCCTATGGATGAAAAATCGGGACCGGGCAATGGTATTCCATTATGCGGAGTCGACTGTATTGCGAGAAAGAGTCTTTGAATTTGGACTTTGGAGTTTGTCGCCCAAAATTCTGGCTGCTATTTCAAGGCTTGGTTTTACAATTTCTTCAGCATCAGAAAATGGCTTCTTCCTTGCTAATAAGAGAGCTATCTCATAGGAAGCTACAACCATGTCCTTTTCTTCATGTCTCTTGACAAATAGGGATTGTTGAGTTTCCAATGAACCTTTTTTCCTAGCGATATAGTCCTTTCGGAGGTCAGAGCCGATGGGATACTTCGCATCCAGGCCTGCGTGATTCGTGTTGTAGTGCCGTTCCAAGTTGTATTTTCTCAACACAGACACCACACACCAGGCATACTGGCTTTCCTCCTTTTCCGACAGTGAACATGTACTTGTCTTCCCACTACGAATTAAATTCCCGACACTCCACACTGTCATCACCTTTGCGTTTTCTCAAACTTGGCTTGCTGAAAGTCATTTTTGTTCACGGAACGTACTGAAAACCCCTCAAGTTGGAACAACTGAGAATGAAAGAAGGCACGTGCACCTGCGCATGAAGTTGCTTTGGCTGTTCCGCAACTGGAGGAACCACAAAAGAGCTCGACGCTAATTCCAGCCGGCTCGTTAGGGCCTTGTTCGAGGTGCACCCCGTCGAGAAAGGGTTCACGTTATTGAGAGCAGATTATAAAAATGATTTGATTTAAAAATGAAGTTCCAGGGCAGGATTATTAACTTCCCCACCTCCCGACCTCCCCCTCGAGACGATAAGAATCGCTGCTTTTGCTCGGCTTAGCCCAGGTCATTTAGATGTGGCCCCTCCAGTTGCAACACAGCCAGATTATTGTTTCTTCCGAAGCACCTCGCGGGCCACTTCTGGCCCGAGTGGCCATGGGTTGGGCACCATTGATGTAGAGCATAAATGCACACATCTAACGTGACTGGTCGAATTTTGACCAATTCTTATTCATTTCTTACATCTACACAAGGAGACATTGATCGTTAAAGGTCGACGTCATTGAGGAGAGGCTATAAGTAAGTATCCCCCATTTCCGCAATACAAGTACATCATTCACTAGAGGTGCGCAGAGAACGTTTTAATTCCCAAAAATTCCCGTCGGGTATACCAACTGAGCTCGCATAGAGAGAGTAGTATCTCCTGTACGTGGTCGACGGGTGCAGGACAACGAAGATACCCAGACTCCTCCAACCAATAGGTTATTCACCTGCAGAAGTCGTAACATATAATCTCAAAGATATTTCAAATGCAAAGAACTGAACACACACTTCCCTAATTATACAATATAGCAATGTAAGTAGAACTCACGCAGAGGCAGAGGCAGACGTCCAAGGAAGCACTGTGAAATCGACTCTGTATCCAGAAGGCTTTTAAACCCTTCCTCGCCCCTCCCCCCACACACCCATTCCACGCCCTCTCCCCACCCTCCTCTCCGATCTGAAGGACGCGACCTTGTCACTCCCCCTTTCCTAACGAGATAAGCATCTGCCTTCTAACCATCTTCCAACGGTCTTTCATGTCCATCTCCATCATGAGTTTCACACCCCACAGATTCCAGAAATTGCCAGCCTTCCCAATTCCATTTCTTTACTCACGATTTCAAGAACTTAATTCATTCCGTGCAGGAAGTACGGGCGGGACCGGACCGGATACACAGGGAAAGCTTTTCTTCTCTCGAAGAATTCCTTGAAGCTCATTGATTATATGTCGATTCCTAAAGATCTCCCTATCGTGGCGCGCACAACTTGCTCTTGGTGACGTGACATACACAACCGGCATCCGCGCTGCTGTTCATGAACCAAGAAAAAAATCCATCCATCCATCGATTCTTTTGTAAGTGGGTCATTCCATACGAACTCAACCAACATTAATATAAAATGACACCCGACCAACACGGCTTTCGCGATAAAAATTCTTTACCAACCACTTTCATTCAGGCAATTTGCAAGTCAAGAACGCTCTAGTCTCCTTTTTTACTGAGCATGATTAAATTGTGATTTCATCGCATATACTGTATCGCTTCCAATATATACTATACTGCCGTGTGTAATTTGAAACAGGCTCAGGCCCTTAAGACAGGACCTGTGACCACTCGATGCCTCTGTATGACGCACTGTGACCCATGAAATGGCAATAGTTTCAAATTTTGATAGTCATTCTTGATACCATTGGGGATTGCTCGATAATTACCGTCAGGACAGGAATTTGAGCTCTGTTGACGATTACTGAATGTGGGGATTCATTCCTGTGTCGATGTGAGAAAAAAAATGAAGTGAAGAAAGTCATACAACTTGATCTGAAAGTGACTGGACCCAGTACATATTGGAGATGATTAAAAAAAAAACCTTTTCAAAAGGTTAGGCATAAGAGATGAACCTGGAAACAACAAATTGACTGCTTAATTGATTGTTGAATACAATGCCTGGTGCCGAAGTGGGGAATCGGTGAATAAGGGGAGAGTTCAGTCACTGATGAAAGTTACAAAGGGTATGAGGAGAGAGTAATTTCGCTGACGTGATCATGGGACACTCCCTTGATATTTTGCACCCATGTATTCATCGTCTGATGCTAGTCCATGCACTCCGTAACTTCCCACTGTTTCAAAAATAATGTAATTTTCATCCTCAGCAATCACATTTGCGAGGGGTGTTTCAAAAGGAACAAGATTTATTATTCGATATCTTCACACCCTTTAGGCGTAAGCACATAAAACCCGATGACCTTACATGCGTTTTCTGGATATGAAACCTAAGGCACCGACGAAACAAGACAACCACTACCCGAGGCAAGGTGAATCGCCGGCCGCCACCTCAAGCGGAAACTTTTTGCCCCAGAAACCCGGAGGAAATCAAAGATAATCAACAAAATACAAGTCTTCTTAGTGCAAGTCGTTTAGCGGGACCGTGAAGCAGTTCCACAAGGAAGGCCAACAGATAATTATGAAGTCAAAAAAGTTAAGAGTATACGTTAGACATGAATAATGCGTTTTACAAAAGATAGCATCATTTTGAAGGCTGCAAGGGATTAAAGGTTCCGAACAATTTTTTTTTTTCTCAGCAGGCTCACCATGTGCGTACATGCCCCTACAATTTCCTGAAACTTAATTTTTGACGTTTTGACGAGTAACAGACTCCTTCAAGAACACGCGGAACTACATTTTATCCTTGTGATATCAAATTCGCCAAGTGTCACTGCGTAGACTCCTGCTGTAAAGCTGTTCTCAGGCTCTGAGCGACCGACTTCATTTTAATGACGAGAAATCATATCGATATTTCTCATCAGTATAGTCGGTATCTTACAGTGCGATCCGTTCGCAGACATGTGAAGTTTGGAGCTTCATTTTTTAACAACCCGCCTATTTAATTGCTGCTAGTAATGTCAATTTTTACTTTCTGAGAAAAACCTATGGCCCTCTCACAGCTATTTTTCCTTCGTGAAAAAATTCCAAGGGAACGAAAGACTCATGCGCAGCGGCAGCTTCCCCATTATTGTGGATTTGGACGGTATGGCGAAGGACGAATCGCAAGATGAAAAAAAAAAAGATCCTCTAGGACTTGGTCCAAGAATCAATGAACAATAGTTCTTAAGATTGGGAGTGTTATAACAATGCCCTCTTCAAAAGACGTAGAGAGCACATTCTTCCGTTTCCTCCCATCCTCAGCTCCACAAAATTCAGCAGGTCAAAGTCAAAACTCGAAAGTCAATGGGCATATGATTTTGATTTTATTTTGCAAATAGGCAGCACACATTCAAAGCCTGCAGAAGAAGGTTGACCAATGCAATCTCACATTTTTCATCCATGCTCAACAATAAACTAATGGGAAATGCAACAGGTGATGCAGTAGGTTCAACAGAAACTAAATCTGCATAGATAATTGAAACAAAGTTATTGGGCCATATCTTCACTTGCATAAGAAAAGCCTAGCTGAAGATCATCAGTCTTACTACAAAAAATAAGGCATGAGGCTGTAGGCAAGGTCAAATAAGTAAGGTAGAGTCTAAGGAGACTAACCTGAGGACTAGGATGAAATGCAAACATGATTCAAATCCACATGATATTCTTCTTTGTCTTTCATGGTTTTATCAATTTTCCTAGCTTAACACAAGCCAAGGGAGTCAGGAGGCTGTAAATGTGCGTATTTTCAATAGAGTGATGGGACTATGAAACACCACACAGCATCTGGTTTCTTTGATTTCCATGTGGTTTTATCAGATGTGTTACAGGACCACATGTCATGGACATAAAACTGTACATTTCACCAAGCTGGTCATCTGCATAACAGGTGTATGAGGTGAGGTTTGTTAACTGGGCATGAAATACAGATAACATCACATTTTAAGCATGATGTTGACAACTTCACTGAAGTGTCTTATTGGAGTGAATTTCCTCTCATTCTCAAAATGCTGACATCAAATGTATAGTTTTCGAAAATAGCAGGGCATAAAAAAATTGGTCTTCAACAAACTCCAGTTCTTTCACATCATTATGGACAAAGTCAAAATGCAATGGGATCACAGCAGCCTCATTTCGTGCCACCAAAATCTCAAATGGCAAGCTAAATGATCAACAGACGGGGAAAGATATTCCTTTTTGAACGTGATTACAACCCAAGGTCAAAGAGCAAATAATAGTAAGGAATCGTGTGAATTTGACAGCACAACAAAAAATAGTCACATATTCCTATGGGTCTTCAATTAGGTTGCTATTCACAACAGGCCTTCTTTATGGAAGATATAAAGGCAGTCAATTGAGATGCCATCTCTCATCAGTACCTCAGGATATAATTACCATTTTCAGTCATAAGGGCAAGATCTGGAACACCAACACAACAAAAGTCACTTAGAAAGATCTGACCTTTCCATGTCTAACAAATAAATTGAAAACACAAAGGCAGCATTTGCCAGATTGGGTTACTAAATTATGCCTTCCAGGATTAATAAAGGCATCCACAGGGGGGAAGTAAACAGGAGGTATCAGAACAAAAGATGTTCATGTGATGGAAACTTCCTACAACATCCATGCATATCAATGAAACTCAAGTGGTTAAGGAAGCAATTTGTTGGACTCAAGATGGATGAATGATGTCCGAAAGCAATCACAGGGAAGATAATGAGGTCTTGTTACTGAGGTCTTCATTAGAAAAAGACTAGATCTAGTTTGTCTTTAACAGGAGGCAGAACTTTTACCTCACATTCTTTACTCTTTTTATCTCACTGGAATTCATCACAGTTAAAATGAGATTATGCATTAGTATGCAGACAGGAAGAACTGAGACATGACCAGCCACACAGAAAAGTTTGTTTGCATTATATTCCTGCCAGACTGCAATTGAGGAATGATAGTTTTCCATTGAATATGATCATTATTTAATTGTGCATACCAATTAAATCCCTTCTTCATGGTCAAACCTGAATACATTTTTTCATGAGTCTGATCTGATCTGATCCCACACCATTCAATTTTAGAAGTGCTTATCCACACTGAAAGGAAAAAGATTCAAAATTCAAATTCCTTATGGGCATTAGTGCATTAAATTACTCTTGCACATAGAAAGAAAAAAAAAAAACCCAGTAGCATTTCCTTGAATTCCAAAAACAAACTAGTATCACATATGGGAGCAGAGTAGGTACTACATATGGCATATAGTCTTTCCATGATTCCCAAATGCTGACTTTTAGGAATACATTTTGGTGACCTTTCTGAGAGAATTATGTGCCATTCCAAACCAATGCATGTTATTTACTAGCTTTCAGATGATAAGATGGATTTTATTTTGTAAGTTAACATAGTTCAAAGTAGGCCATATATGCTACAAGAGCTGCAGTATGGCAGGTACAAATCATTCATGGCTACATTCCAAATGGAAATAATTACACTTTTGCAAATAAAAGTAAAAAAAAAAAAACACAAGTTGAGAGAGAGGTGATAATGTGTTTCACCTTCCCAACTCACCAGGGAAACAGTGAAGTCTCAATAACTAGATGCACTCAAAGTCTACACCAGCCACAAGTATAAGCAAATACAATATACCTATAGCAAGCCAAAATTACAGATTGCAATATTAGGGCACATGTTACTGAGTACCTTGAGCCATATCTTAACATACTAATCAGATTACTTACTAGTGCCATAAATTGCTGGAAAGGGTAAAGAAGAAAAGGAAACTAAATTTTGTTCAGAAACTGAGATGCTTCTTGTTTACTTTCTATAAGATGTCATCTTCACTTGAGAAGGTAGGTGTGCCACATATCAAAGGACCAGCAGGCAGCAATGAATGCTGCTTCGAGTTTGAGAATAACACGCCCTAGAAAACCTTCATGATACAGTAGTAGCAGAGAAAACTTTAAAGGACCTCAATTTCAGAAAGCAGCTATTTTCAGGCAGTGCCTAATTTTTCGTGATCACATGCCAAGTCCCATTTCCAAGGTCACTTGCATAGTGAAGGAATAATCAGCATTTGGGATATGGGAAAGACTGTAGAGTGGAACATACCCCAATAGGTCACCTATAAATGGACCTTGAACATGCTGAACAGCACAACAGATGAATTGGCACAATTACTTGTAAGGTCAAAATAGAATACACAGGAAACATCTTTAATGTATAAGATTTAAGATCTTCATCATCCACCATTCTCCTACATTTCTTGAAAATTCTGGAATGGTAAAAGTTCATTCCATGCCTATATTCACAAACAGTTGAAGAAATAATGATTGAAACAGAACAGAAGAAAGCATTACACACAAAGGCTCAGTTTGAAGGAAAAGCTATTTAAAAAAAAAGGGTTAAGCATATTCATTAGGATCACAAACCGATGAGTTCTTACAAGACTCTCCCTGCTACAGCAATACAGCTACTTCCATGGGAAGACTGCAAAATCACTAATTATGCTCACACTTTTAAATAGGGATGTACTGATACTGATACACAGTAACAGTATCAGTAAGTCCAATCAAAAGAAAATTTTGCAGATACCTCAGTTTGAAGACATTTTGTTGGCTGATTATTGACATGGTATATGGGAAGCATTAAACAAATGTAAAGTTTTTTCTTTTTAGAACAACAAATAAAATAAATATAAATAAAAACCCAAATTTTGGCATCCAAATAGGCAAACATAAGTACATTTAAAATTAGCTTTAATTATATCTGTTAGATATCAGGTTTGTAGACTAGGATATATTATCATGCACCAAGCCCAAAAGGCAGATACACCATGCTTTCTTCATTGGCTGCATGATGGTAGTCTGCAAAACAACTTATGGTCAGAAGAAGGGGCTTGTAGTTAGCATCCTATTTTCTGAGTGGCTCTCACAAAGTAACAATATTTTCTCAACACTATGATGATATCAATGGGTCAGAAACAGTAGTGTAATTCTGCCAACACCCAAAACCAGTATCAGTATTTATAATGGTTGATTGAGATAATAGTTGAAGCAGTGCATTAGTTTGGCCAGTATGACTGGAAGATATGGGTGAAAATCTGTATCAGTGCATCCCTACTTCTAAATGATTCATAAGACTCTCGTGAAGGAGAAACCATACAGAAAGCAAAAAATTCACAAGATATAATGGCAGGTTCGATGTGGACCATCAATGGCAAATTCTGCCTGCTGCATTAGACCTAGAAAACCAATGAGACAGTATGGGACCCATTAAATCCATTGGACATGAAAGACCCTTCTTGCCAAATATCCTCAGACTTTGCTAAGTTCATGAGAATCCACAGTTGAGCAGGGTCACCAACTCGACACCCAAGGAGGCTGGGAATGAGAGGAGCGGCTAGAGGAGCTGCTGTGGCTCCGGGTGCCTGACTGAGTCCTGGTCGAAGCTGCAGCTTGTGGTCCACAAGTACTTGGAATGACCTTCCCCTTCCCACTTGCCTCCACCTCAGTTGAAGGCCTTGCTGCCTGGATCTTCTTGAGCAAGAGCTGAAACAAATTGCAGACATTCCTCTTCCTCTAGATTTAGATGGTAAATCTATATGAGATATGGTAAATCTAGAAGAGAAAGATGAAATTTGAGAAGACACACAATGGCACTGGACTTTGAAAAGTCAATATTTTCCCACTGGGGTTTAATCTCCAAAAATATGAGCCCAGGTTTAGTTCCCTACCATCCAAACCAACCAACTGCATCATGAGGGGCATGGCATTAAATAATTGTTTGATACAAAGATTAGAAAGTTATAAGTCCATCTACATCTACTATCCAAATAACAATTTCTGAAGTAGGCAACCTGAATAGATCAGCACATGGCTCAAATGCAAATAAGACTATCTTCTCTGATTTTTTAACTCCCACTAAAGGGTGCAGCCATTTCATTTATAGGGTTCATGTTAACTCGCTATAGTGAGTCCCTGACTCATACTTTCTTGGAGGGATTCATATTTGCAAAACATCCAAGTCTGTGGGACTCATTGACAACCACCTGAACATGTTCCCACTGAGCTGAAGCTAGGTGCCAGGACTCAAGATTTAAAAAAAGCTATTGTGAACCCTGATTTATATCAATTGAATGCTGACTCTTCTAAAGTATACAGGGAAGCCTAGGCATTGCAAGCTGAAGTTCTCACAAGGAACTGCATCCAATTCACAAGACACACTCTGGACCTATGCAAGAATATCCAACACTCTTTGCAAAAAAAATCAAAGCCTGATAATTACATACATTGAATTGGGATAAAAGTAGAGTAGGACAAGGAAATAAAATTTTTAAATCCTGGAATAAACTCAGCATATACTGTAAATTCCACTCCCACCCATGAAAGGAGACTCATACCTGCCAAAGCTCACACACATGCAAGAACTGAGATGTTTTACATCTCTCCCAATGTCAAAGGACAATGAAATGTCAGCCTTTATGAAGCTATGCTGTGGTTACTCATGAACCAGAAAATCTATTTTTAACTCACTTACCCAGACTTTCTTTTTCTCAAACTGATCAGATCTGGAATTTTTTATTCACCTAAACAGTAAGACTGATGCCAATAATTGATGGGCAGCTCACCAGATTCTCATATTCAATACGCTGCTGCTCCTTTCCTCGGTTGATGGCACCAGAAGAGGGCCTCTTAGCATGATTCACAGTGGTAGTCACATTAGGTGAGAGAGTAGAAGATTTCTGATGACATTTCAGGATCTTCTTCAGTAGAAGCTGATTTTCATGGTCAATCTTCATGACCTCATCATTTGTGAATGACATGTTGTACCTGCAAAGTCAAAACTCCTTGACAAATCCTTACAAAGGTTGTAAAACACTACTTTAGATCTAACATGACTCATGATCATATGAGGATTTAGAGGGAGCCTAGAAAGAAAGAAATTGCAGCACACCTTCTGTGGCGATGAAGAGAACTTCCTGGAATCCTAATGGGCATGACTGGAGCAGACTTTGGTCCCAGCTGTAACTTTGGCACCTCCCTTGAGGATCCTGAAGTGCAAGGTGACTCACTATCATTGACCACTCTTTTGTCATCTTGTAACATTACCTCATTTGCCATATAGCCAGAATTAGCATCCACAGGCTCTTCTTCCTCAGGTTCTTCTTCCACATTACCTTCCACCATGAATGCCTTGCGTACAATAAATGGGCTATGGTTTTTCGATGATAAGGGGGAAACATCTGTGAGATCATCACTCTCGTGGTATTCGTCATCAGAAGATGAGAGGCTCGAAATGTCAGCTTCCTCTTCAAACTCAGAGTGAGAGTCCTCTCGATAATCACTATGTCCTGGGTCTATATGACACTGGAGATTCATTTGATAGGATGGATGAGAACCACATTCTACTGCTTGTAGCTGAGCTTCATCCAAAAGTCTGAATTTGGGGTCAGAATTTCCTGAGGGCCTATCACATTCATCTTGAGGATCATTTTGGAATTCTGGCTTCAAGCCAGCCTTTGGACTATGCAGTTCAGATGATACAGGAGTAGGATGATCAACAAAAAACTCAAAATCTACTTCCCCGTGGATTTCAGGATCATAATCTACATCCTGTAAGCCCACAGCTCCTGATGATCTGGCCATTCTGCTCAGCAAAGCAAAAAATTATTAACCATTTAGATTTAGGCTTAACCATTTTCCTAATAAGTCCTAGTCTAAGGCAGCAGGCCTATAATAATACTTGGGCCTTGGCCCAGAATAAAGGTAGAGGTTAACACCAAGAGGATCTGAAGGCTACTGTTCCAATTTTATGGAACACATTCAGCATGCACAATGACTGTCAAGACAGTGATAAGATAAGAAAAATGGACAACAAATGGAACACATTGCTGTTGGGTGTTTAACATGAAATCCTAAATCCTATTTTAATCTATTTTCCTGCTACAATAACTGTCCCAACTTCTCCCATCATCACTCATGCCATAGGCATTAATAAGGAATTTATCTAATCAAAAGCAGTCTTATAGATCTTGCACCAACATTTCTTGAATTTTTGGGTATTTTGGGTATAGTGTAATATATCCAGACTGTTTATTATCTTCCAATTCTATTAAATAATTTCCTCTCCCCCCACCCCCCTTCCACCTTCATTAGAAGTGTGTGCTGAAGTGTGTATGCAAATAATCATTGGGATGGTCAAAATCAGGATATAGGTATAGGGAAGAATTTTATCCTACCCTACTTCTGCCTTTGCCAAACAATTTGAACAAGTCCTAAACCAAGACCAGGGCTTCTAACTCTGGGGTCACAACACCACTTGGGGTTGCATAAATCATATTTGGGGTTGTGAACCAGCAGCTAAATGCCAAGTTGTGACTTTCTTTGCTATTTTAGTGCATAGGTGGGGGAACATGTTGAACTTCAGCCAGTGCTTGGAGTCCTAAATGTCATGATTATGATATTTGGGCTCACACGTGGGTGTGGGCCCAATTATGAGGGCTTCACAACAGGTTGGGAAGCCCTGATCTAGACTAGCCCTAAAAGTTATCTTTTCAAATGAACTGAATGAATCATGAACTAGGTTCATGATTGGGGCCCATGTTCAGCTTTTCTTTGCTGAAATGAAAGAATGATTGCTTTGCAAAGGTTTGTAAGCCACTGCATGTATAGTTCATAAAAGATCTCACAGGAAAAGCACACTCTACTAGGGCCTAATATAAATAAACATATGCATATGATTGGTCTAACTCAGGGGTCAGGAACCTATGACTCATGACCCATTGAGTCATGGCTGAAAGTTAAGTTTGTTCCTCATTTTTCTCATATATCATGAGATAACTTCAGGAAACTTCCTATCGTTCTGAAAATTTTTCATTCACAAGTACTTAGCTCAAACTTAATATGGCTCACAAGGCCAAAAAGGTTCCCAACCCCTGGTCTAACCTCTCACAGGTGCAATACTGCACTTACAACGTAACTTGGCCTATGCTACACCAATTTAAATTTGCATTCTTCTCTTGGAATGGAATAGAAAATATTTATGATGACATGAAATCTTTGCCCCTCTCCCCCCTTTAGTTTGCAGAACTGTGCAATGGTGAAGCAAAACTGGCTAATTTCTGAATAAGGTATATGATTCTATGCTTACAATATAAATCTCAATATCTAATGTATCTACCACCAGTCTAACGTTGGATGACGGCTGAAGATGGTATGTACAATTCCCAAAAGTCCCTCTTTAACTACGGTTCACACAGTGCTCCCTTCGACGCCAAACTTGCGTGACAAGGGATAACCTGATGACTGCAGTTTGCACATTTTTTGTTTGGCAAAGTGGCAGCGTGAATACAAATAAATCCTTGTTTTCCACTCTCTTGAAGCATTGCAGTCATCACAACACAAGGATTAAATGTGGAAAGAGAAGAACTTTCACGCTGGGGTCATTAATTGAGTACGGTCGATTTAAGCGGCATCGTGCACAAAAAGCAATAAGATAAGATGGAAAGAAAGAAGAGGGCAAAAATTTGAGTATTAATAACTCTATATACCATCTCTTCTGCATGTAATAACAAGGCATTGAATAGGCTACGTAGGCCGACGCAAAAGCCACTCACCCTAGGTAAACAAACACTTCACTGGAAAAGGTGCTCATCGAAAGGTGCAGGACAGAAAAGTGAGCGATCTACCATAAAGGTGATAATGGTGGACACTTGCGCAATGCGCAATCCGTCACAACGCATGGGCACTGTATGAAAACTGCCATCTTGCTCCGGTCACTAATGCAATCAATCGCTCGTCCTGGCATCTGTGCTCAGAATTAGGAAGGTTCTTCCCTTCTCAAGAAAGGGCAGATGTAGAGCCAATCCGCTGCTTGCGAGAAACCACTCACAAACCAATATCATTCAGATCACAGTGTCTTCTGGTATCTCACAGGATTCTAACGGACGGACGAGTCAAGCAGAGAGGGCAAGTGAATGTGTGGCATAATCTTCCCTATATTTACACCAGCCTGCATCCGGAACCTCAACTTTTGCCGCGTTTCAAATAATTCCAGTCTTTCTTAATTGAGTTCGAGTCTTTTTGACCTAGCTTCGACATGGCTAACCCAGGGTGAGCATCTTCAGCCACAACCATCAAGCAACAATTTCGAAGTCACATGGAAATCTATCGGATGAAAATTTATCTGAAACATCATAAACCATACAAATATATAATAAAAAACGATAATCGATCTCAGCCTTCCCCTACCCCCCTCCCCCCCAAAGAAAAAAACACCAATTTTTAATAAGACGCTGGAAATTTTTTTTGCAGTAATTTATTGTCACGCGGAGATACCTTAGAAGCTGTGCTGAAAAATAAGCACCTCCACCAATTCAATTCCCGGAAGAACCTCAAACGAATTGTCTTTCTTCTTTTGTGTGAGGAAGCATGTCATTGTTCCATTGTTCCATGGTCGGCCTTTCTTTAATTCATCCGACACCTTTTCGATGGCCACGGACGCCGGCATTCCACCCTGTTTCAATGCTTGGGATCAACTGAAAATGTGTCAGAATGGACTGGAAACCTAACTCATTGAGTTGGGATACGTCGAGGTATTGCAATCACAGGGGCAGGTTTGATTTATCCGTTTGGAGATGATTTTGATGATTCAACTTGAAGTGTGATGGTGGTGAAAGAACTTGAACATTCTGAGACTTCTCCTCCGGCTACTGCAACCAGAGATCCTAGGTTTTTGTTTTTTTTAAAGAGTCATCATAGGAAATGAGGGACGATGGAATCAGCAACGATCGATTACAACGGGAAATTGACCGGAACTGAAGTTGTACTGTTTCCATAGAAACCGTCCTGGAATCTCACTGGAATAATTTTGTCGCTTAACTCCACGGGGCCAGCGAAGACGAACTTGCATACTGTCTCGTCCTCCGTCAACGCCTCGGCGTGAAGGAGCCCAGACGGGGGTGGGGGGGGGGGGGGGGGGGGGGGGGGGGGGGGGGGGGGGAGGGTCTCTCGCCGTCTGCCTCCCGCACTGTCTAGTCAGTTTGAGTCGTTGGCGGGATTCCGTCGCTGGGTGCCGCTTCGGGGTGGATGGCGTCAGGGCGATTCTCGGAACCGTCATCCAGTTTCCTTATGAGCGGGAAATCGGCGGGAAATGGATTGGGAGGAAATTGCAAAGCTGAGCGTTTCTTTCGTCGCCGCTAGGACGTAATTCTCTCAGGGTCTCTTCGCGTGGGATGGGTCATTCCGCTCCAAGTAGGAAGTCATTAGGCAAAAAGGATCAGGCATTTAGAGCCGGGGTAGGATTGCAGTAATTCCGAGCATGAATTATGACGCAATTTGCATGGGGTCCCGCCTTTGTTTCCCCTGTCACATAACACTTTCTCCAAAGAGGGGGGACACAGCAGACACATGTCACCCACTCCAGCCTCTCTCTTTGCGTTATATTTTTGATATATGCTTGTGTATATATATCTGTCGGTGGCTCCTTTCCTCTTCCAATTGTTTTTTTTTTTTGCGGCATTCAGGGCCCCTCGGGTGAGTGAAAAGAATGGAGACGGAAAAGTAATGTTTGCCCGTCCGATTCCGCATCAATGAATGAATGAATGAATAAACAGATGCATTACGCATGAATCCGTGACGGAATGGTCCTGCTTTGAATACGGTCTCGCGTTTCATGAAGGGCGTTTGCATAACATTAAATTCCCATCGTGCAACCGATATGCTGCAGTTCCTTGGAATCGACGAGATAATAAAAAAAATTCGCACGCGGAAAGTGTGCAAAATTTTCGAGGAAACAAGTCGCTGCTACTTAAGACATGAAAGCGACACCGTGTCGATGCAGATCTTCCAGGAATGTTTAGAGAAAACAGGACGGGAAAAAAAGAAACCCCGATGTTGATATACAGAGGGAGGTGAAAAAGGCGGGCGGCGGTATTCCTTGAATAAAGAAAAAAAAAAAAGCTGAACGTCTCGACAACAGCTTTCTCTTTTCCTTTCGCCCTTGTTAATGACTGGCGAGAGGGAGAAGAGAACTCCCTGTGTTGTTGCGTTATAGGGTCTAACGTGAGAATGTTTATATCGGAAGGATGGGGGCCCTGTATATACGGCCTGTTCGTCATTTCACAGTTTGTGCTTTTGCAAAAACTCTCACTCCCTCCGTGTTTTTTCTGTCTCCCTCGATCTTCTTCCCCCCGAATTCCTGTTCTTCCCCCATATTCCCGCATCTGCATCACACGCTTCTGTTCGCTCGCCCTTTCTCTCGCCTCGAATCCCATCTAAATATTTCCACTTTCCCGGAAAGATATATTCTCGTGGACCATTAAAAGGTTGGTCATCCCTTCACGCCCATCCAAACCCGAGGAGAAGCGGAGAATCGCGTCATTATATAATCACTAAACCCCCGGGAAGTTCCCAACCTCCACAGCAGATGTCGCCGTCGTTCCCCCCCGCCGCATCAGTACTGCGAAGGCGATGGATGATGGCGGCCACCTCATCGCCCTGCGCTTCTCCCGCCCCTTCGCATCATCTTCGACTTCTCTCTGACCATTTACTCCATATTTCATGGACTACTTCTGCACGAGTAAGGACATAGACCTGTACGGGACCTTTCCAATTACCCTAATTACCACGTAGATGTGCGTAGGGTTGCCACCTGTTCGTAATTAATATGGACAGTACATGTTTCGGACGCGATATCCATACTGCAAACTGGTCCTAATATGGACACTGTTTTGTCCATAATTTAAACTTAAGATTTTTTTACGCATTAAAGCTTAATAACAGCTAATATCGTTACTTTCCATAACTCAAAAGCAGTAACTCCGGTAGGTCACACAGAGTATCGATTGGTGCCTTGCCTTAAGGTGGGCGTGGATCTAATTCGAATATATGTAAATATTTTATTACATCCAAAGGTGGCAACCCTAGATGCGCGAGTATTTCTTATGACTGTGCCAGTCCCGGAAGGCTAAACGTCCTCTTGTGGTTCGTGAAGCCGTATGAAAAATGAGGAAATCCTCAGATGATTTCGTCGCATGGGGCGGGGACTAATCAATAATTCAATGTCGGGATCGTATCACGTTAACTGCTTGTCTATTTCATCTACTGGCTGTATTTGCCGGAAGCCTAAACGAATCCATTTTTATCTATTCTACCGGCAATGAAACCTTATTCGTCTTCGTTCGTCTGCGAAAACTCGTAGTAGCTGGTTTTATCTGTAAGGGGGTGTGTAGAAAAGCGTCCTGGAATCAGCATTCCTTTCAGGCGTTCAATGATGGCGTCCGTTCGCGTTGCAGCGAGTTATGAGGAATGATGTTCGATAAGCCCAAGATAACGATTAATGCCTCGATGATATCCTTCATGATGGGCCTCACCTCAGGAATTCAATGACCCTCAGCGGAATCTCCGACAAAATTCGATAATTCTCGGGTGGGAAAAAGAGTCAAAGGCGAATTGCGCTTGATCACGACCTCCTGTCACCTCGTGAGCCTCTAGGGTCGTGAGAGACACGAATCTCGTCTCGGCTTCGGCCGCGACCTTCACCTAAACTGATCAGATCAAGTGTTGGTTCACCGCGATAAGGAGGTAAAGAAAAAAAAAGGTCGGTCGTATAGGAAGAGACTCAGGCACGATGTCCCCCCCACCCCTCCCCTCCCCTTCACCTTCCACCTTCCCCCTCCCCTCCCCTTCTCCTCCCCCTCCCCGACCCCTGACCT